GAGGCGGCCTGGGGCAGCCGCGCCGCCGGTTCTCTGTGGAAGTAGAGCTCAAATAAGTATTTAAAAAACCAAAAAAGGCATTAAACATAGCCCTTCGAAGAGCCCGAGAGTTTATTTCCGATCGTTACACCCGTGTTGGGTTTATTCCGCCTCTCAGCCTCCCGGGGTTTGCTCATGGGCGCCGCGGGCCCGAGCGGGAGCGGCTCCCGCAAACGCTCCGGCGTTGTAAACCCCGAGCGGAGCAGCGAGCGAGCGCGCAGTTGCCGCTGGAATTCGTTGTAAATTGTATAACTGAAGGTTGTACCCCCTAGTGAAACAATTCCCTTTTGTTAGGCCTTAAATGTGTTACGGCGTTTTCCCGCTTTTGTCTTTTTTTGCTGTTGTGGGGGAAAACCAACACGAGGTGTTGGAACAGCGTAACGGTCGCTGCGATGTCCGGCACGGTCGGTCCAGGGTGTTTGGGTGGGATGGAGAGCAGTGCCAGCGTGACTCGAGAGGGAATCTCTTTCTTCCAGCAAGTTGGCTGCCTGTTCCGTCCTCTTAGCGCGTGTATCTTACAATACTTCCTTTAAACGTTTGAAATCCACGGGAAAATCCCCTGGGTTAGTATTAGCATAACTCAGCTTTTTAGAACCTGGTAAACTAAGGGGGCACTTCGATGGCAATCCGGAGCTCGCACTTCGCTTTCGTTAAAGGAAAAGCAAAATACAGAACGAGCCGTGTTGGTTTTAGGGCGAAACGAGTTGTTGGCGTTTTAAATGGCCTCGAGCAGGTGAGTGGGCTCGTTGGCGTGAGCCGGACCAAGAACCGGGCCGTGTGTCCGATAACGCAGGGCACGAGATGGGGATTTCAAAGGATCCAGCCGTCGTGTGGGGCCGGAGCAGCCCGAGCACCGCAGCTCGCTTGGTTTCGGGAACTCTTTCAAGTGCCCTTTGCTGACTGGTGGGCCAGCCTTGAAGGGTCAGAGCAATGTATAGATGTGACAGGGCTTTTGTTCGAACAGGAGCGTTGTTAGATGTGTGGGACTACTTTGTCTGTAGGTATTTCATTCATGAGCACAGCAAACTTCCTTTGAATCCTGATTTGTGGATTTAGGAGAGGAGCAGAGGCAGAAGCTTGGCCATTCAACAAAATGTCTAATTTATGTTGTTTTTTCTTGGCAAGGGCTCTCTGCCATCATGTCAGTTGCTATGGCTTCCCCTGTAAAACAGAAATCTTACAGTATAAATAGATTTTGTATGTTTTAACCCTCCTGAGACAAAGCTTGCTTTAAAGGATTCCTGCACAGCATCGTGCAATGTGTATTTTGATTACTGTCAGAAGGGTTCACAGGGCTTTTTGTGTGCGCAGTTCACGAGTTCTTTACATAAGCCATTTTTCTTATTTTTAAAGGAATCGTAATCAGAAGGTGCAGTGCTGTACGGTGGGAAATTAGCAAGAGAGATTCTGCGTCTTGTGGTTTAAATGTTTAAACAACTTGGCTTGTTAAATGGAACTTTACACACTAGCAATTCCTGCATCTTCAGAAGAGCCACACAGGCAATTTCCAAGTGTGCAGTTTCATTTGCATAATAGGAGCAATTTGTTGCCATCCACAGCTCTTCTGTGGAAATGCAGCCGCTGAAGATTAAAATACCTCGCATCCAACATATCACAGGACAGAGTTTTCCAAGAGCGGCACGCTTGGAGCGCTGCGTGCCGAGGCAGACGGTGCTGTGAACTCTGTGAGCGGACAGTGGCTGCAGTGCCAGCTGCCCGGTGCTTCTTGGGGCGGGTAAGGTGTGCAGCAGCTCCGCTGCGCAGCATTGCTGAGGGCCTGGGTGCCACGTCTGTGACCGTGCCTGTTGGGAAGCAGTTTCCATCAGCGCAGACTTTGTTCCTCAGAAAGTGGTGTTCCTGCGCGGACACCGAGCCCTTTGATGCAGGTACGCTATCTTTGTAGGTGTTTGTCGGGCGCCCGGCACTTCGGAGATTACTGGAACTCTGTAGTAAACAGTGAAGTTGTTACGTTTTTTTTATCTTGAGATTAGTGTAACCTTATCTCCTTTGTGTAAACCACCCTCATGAATGAGCATCTATTTTAGAAAACACACAGCACGTGTCTTAGGGTTCGTGGTTCCGTTGTATTTGTGTGGCAGAAATGTTAAGAGGGAAGTTCTGCTTATTTTTAACAGTACTTACAATTTATTCTTTCAGTCTATTTTTAAAAATCCTCTGAGATAAATTTATCTCAATGAATTGTGAAAGGCACAGGATTGGTTTTGTCTTTAAAGATTGATGTGTATGTGTAGATTCTAAAAGGTTTCTCAAGAAGAGAGAGGCCAAAACTATCGTGCCCTAGACTAGCATTAGGAAAATAACAGAAACACTGTTGTTTTATGAAAGTCGGATTTATTAAATGAAAGAAAACACAGGTATTTAGTAAAAGTAGTGTGCAGGAGGCAAGCAGAAGTGGTAGGATGCCGTGGGGGCCAGTGAAATAATTGCCACGGGCCTGTAGCACTGCTGAGCTTTTGGGCGACCGTGCAGACGTTAGAGGATTGGAGGCATGGTGTGGCTGACGCGGACAGCTACCCTGATCCCGACAGAGTTCATCAGGAGTGAGGGAATCTCATGGGGTTGACTTCTCTTTGAATAGCAGTATCTTTGCAGAAGTACTCTGACCTTTTTCTGCCCCATCAAAGCTGTGTCTAGGGATACAGCACCTTACAAAGAAGAGGTGAACCTGGACAACTGATGAAAGTACGTACAGAAAGTTAAGTCTCTGTTAGGGCAGGGAATGGGCTGTAGAGCCAGACGTGACTTGGGATGTAGCTTAAAACAAAGCACGTTGTGTAAAAGTTGAGCAGTCAGCACGGGCAGCGAGATCGTGTTACCTGGTACCGTGGGTTAGGGTAGAATTTCCAGACAACGCTGCAGCTTTTCTGTTCACTGTCTCCATTCAGACTTGCTAAAACATTGTTGTGTGGTACCTTATGCTCAGAGGTTGAGCTTCTGCAGGTTTTGCTGCTCGTCTAAAGCAGGGTTTCACTCTGAAAAGTAGTTATGACATAGAGCTGCTTAACACAGTGCCCGTGGAAGAGGCTCTTGGCTGCTGCCACCCTGCCGCCCTGGTCCAGCGACACCGGCTGCGTTGTTTCCGAAGGGAAAACACCCAGCGTGTGTGCAGGGGCTGTGCTGACCTGCTGTCGTGCCCAAACACACCGTTACCATGCTTGAGTTACGATACGTGTTTCCTGGCTCGTGGGCAGTTCTTTTCTTTTCGAGCCAGAATCTGCTGCCTGACTTCAGCAGAAGTTGGATGTAAGGTAGAGTTTTGTCATGTCATAAGCCGTGTTTTTCTTCACTGTAAGAAAAGGTGCTGGTTGCAACGTGGAAGCTAGCAGAACTTGCCTAGAAACATGCTGGGCTGTGTAAGTGAAAGGGGGCTCACATCTGTCTAGATAAACTCAGAGAGAAGGTGTCCTTAACCGTAGGTCTTTGTCCATTCATGCTACCTGGTGTTTTACTGTCTTTGCAGCGTGGTCAAGAAGCACCGTGTGTACGTGGGGCTACGTCACGTTGGTCACCAGGCAGACATCTGGAGGGCAGTAGGCGTGCTCTGAAAAGCAAGCCTACCTCTCAAAAAAATCTTTCTTTTTTGTGCATCTTACAGCACTTTGTGTGTGTAATAATGGCATTTTCTTTCCCATTCCCCTTTCTCCTTTGCTTGATCCCACAGGGAGGTCATAATTCTGTGATTGTCACCAAACTCTGTTGCAATGCAAGTGAGTGTGATGTGATAAATTCAGCATTATGACGTCACTTCGTGATCATCAACAGAAGATGGGGTATGTGGGAGCAAATCCTTGTGTAAATACGGATCACTGTGCTAAAGGATAGTCACGGTAAAAAGCCAAGCAAGTGTGAAAGCCTTTTCTTGAATGGTAATATATTGGCAGTGAAGGCTTTCTGTTTCTGTGCCACCCAGTGTTTCTAGCACTGACTGCTGCTGCAGAAGCTGCCTTGACACTTCATGTGTAAGTGTAATATACACTGTTGTGGTTGCTCACCGGTATATTACTGTTATACATGGAGTTTGATACTCATCTTTGGAGCTTTAGTGTTAATATGCAAAATACAAATATATTCGAGAGACTTGGGCTACAGAGAATGGGGAATTGAGTATATAATTATGTAAGTTCTAGGATATTAGTATGCCATAGGCATAAGCAGCGGAGAAGTGTTGATACTAATTCTTACTCTGCGTATCCTTGGCTGTCCTTTACATGCTGTGCAGATATGGTTAGGAATTTTAAAATGCTTTAACACGATTTCAGATAAATGTAAGGGTTTGTTTCTGTTGCATTGACTGGTTTCTGAATTTACAGTAACTAAAATATTTAAGATACTTTTCAGTGTGGAAGATTGAAAGAAAAAGAATATTACTGTATATATTTTAAGTTTTGCCGTTTTCTGTCGTTGTTACTCCTGAGTGATTGATGGAGGAACAGGAGAGGTTTGAAACCAGAAAAAAAAAGGAGGGTTTTTTGCAAAGCTATGGAGTTTGTCAAGAAAGTTGGTAACTGCCACATTTTTAGCCTGATTAACTTTCAGGTTGATGGTGTTCCATCAACCACCTTTTCTAATCCAGCAGTCCATACAGAGGTCAACATATGTGGTATAAGAGGGGACAGTGCAGTAAAAAGTACGGCCTAGTGACTGTTTAGCAAAGGTGGAGTAGTGTTAGCTGGGGGGGAATTCTGCTCAGGGTCTCGGGATGAGTGGGTTGAACAGGAGATCCATTTTACAGACAGGAAAACAGGTGGAGAAACTACCTGAGGTTTAAAACCAGAATGGGCACAAGAGTTTATTAATTCCCTGTTCCTAGTCAGGCATTTAGCCAGTGAGAGTATTTTGTAGTTTCTGCAGCATTTAGCAAACGTACCGTTCCGGGCAGCAGCGGTGAATTGGCAGTTCTTACCAAGTGAAAAGGGAAGTCCCCAGTCAGTGGGCTGGGGTGGTGTCTTTGCACAAAAAATTAGTGTTCAGTGTAGAACTGGTTTTAGGGAGTTTGGGGTGTGTTTTTGTTTGTTTGTGTGGTTCGTTTTTTGCTTTGAAACAGAAAGATAGCAAGTATTGCCGATAATATTCACAGCTTATTTGCAATAAACATCTTAAATCCTGAAGTTATTCTACCCTGTTGATCTTAAATGTCTGAAAGTCATTACGTTTCTTTATTAACAACTTTGTGTTTGTGCTGCCAATGATTTTATTAAGTTTTAGGGGAGGTTGTCTTCTTTTTGCTTGATAATGCTTTTATGGTCTTAAACCTTCAATACTGTAAATGCTTAGACACGTAAAATATTTGAATGATAGCAGTGTGATGTTGGGTTTTCTTTTTAGCTGTAAGTGCTTGCAGGACTGGGATGTTGGTGTACTTCCATCACAAAATACCCTTATTCCCATTGTTGTCTGAATTACTGTGTATTGAATTCAGTAAAAAAGAAAAATCCCTATAGCTGAGGGTTATCAGAACTTAAAGTGGTACTTAAGAAGCTCGAAAGAATTAAAATGTCAGGGCTAACTTTAATACTAGAAGGAAAAAGTTACTAATATAGGTTTCCTCCTGTGTTCTACAGTCTGTCCAGTGAAGATGCTGTGTGAGGCTGCTTTGAGATGCTAACAGGTATCTTGAACTTTTGGTTTTCCAGTGCAGCATCTCTAAGTAATATTTTGCTGTAGGAAAAGACTAAAATCTTGATTTTTTTTTTTTTAAAGCATTTATTCACCTCTCCCCACACCCAAAACAAAGCCCCAGCTGGTTTTATTTCCATAATGTCAAAGGTTTTCCAAGTAGAAATAAGTATAGCTTGTCCTGTATCCTTTAAAAAAAAATTCTCTCATGATCATCTCTTCACGATTAAGTATGCTCTCATTATTGACATGCCCTCATCTCCGCTGTCATTTTTATCACGTCTAGCAGTAGAGCTCCAAATTAATGTAAAATTGGGTTTTGACATACTTTAGCCATCTAGCTTACCCAAGAGGATGTGTCTAAACACATTGAGGAAAAACTGTGCTCCAAGAAGAGCAGTGGGGAAGACTAATCCGAAACACTTTTGTACTCCAGTTGAAACATCCTTGTGGACAGATCCAAAATGTATCAAATTGCCATATATAGCTGCTTTTTTTTTAAAAACAGGAAAGTGTCTCCTCTAAAGAGAAAACAAAGAAGGTTGGCCGTAGTCGCTAAAACAAATAGTCAGGAGGATGTTTGTGGCATTTGTACAATGTGGCTGCTTTTGATTCTGGAAGCCCTTTCTAAAAATGGAGCTATCACACATACATATTTGGAGTCACATCCAGCTTCTCCCATCCTGCAGAGAACATTTTTTTTTTTAATCTATAACTGGATCCCAAGTCCATTATTTAAATGTGTTTTTAAGGAAGAAAAATGCTTGAGATCTCATGCCAAATTAATTTCAGATGTTCCTGAATATTTAATGGAATTGGTCTGTGTTAACTTTTAATCGATCCATTTGCAGAGCTGTATTACAAACCCAGGAACCAGCAGTGGTAATCTGTGACCTGAAACCTGATCACAGAATTGTGATGAAATTTCTCTGGCATTGTGGACCTTCTTTTAATATTCTGATCTAAAGAGCTCAAGGAATTCATCCCTTAACTGAGCGTTCAGCATCCTTTCCATCTCCACACTCGGTGTCTGCGTGACCCCCTAACATAGTGACGCCCTCCAGCCAGAATTCCTTCACAATTTGTCAGTGTCACGACTTCGTGGCTGGCTGGCGGGGGCTGCGCAGAGTGCCAAGGGCTGTGCTTTTCCCCTCTCTGATAGCCTTCTTGCTCTTTCCTGTCCAAGAGAGCCAGGCTCTCCAGAGTCTGAATTCTGCATCATGGCACATACTGCTACCCATAAGGCTGTTGGTTCTGAAGCTGGAATTTCAGAGCCGTCTGACAGGAGTGTTGAGTGAGGAGTGTTAAATTGCTAGCAGCAAATTTCTACTCAAAAATAATCCTCAGATGGTCAAAATGCATTGAGATTCCTAATACCGTTAAACAGCTTCATGACAGTCAAAACACACTGGTCTGTCTAAAACCTCTTCTGCTCTCTAGAAAGTCGAGTGAAAATTGTAGGCATTAAATCTGCATTTTCAACAGCTGCTGTTCTTAACTGTATCTTTAATCCAGATCTTATTACTGCTACTGCAGTTGCTCACCTAGTCAAGTAACAGCCATGAGAAATCTGGAGGTTAGCAGTGCTCTAACAAGTTTTTGAAATGCAAAGAACAATTTGCACGATGCGATGTAATAGAGATCATCCTACTTAATAGCCTATTTAAATCCTTGACAACTTACAATAGTAGATCGCTTTCTTTTGAATCCGAAGTTTAACTTTTAACTTCTTCTGCATTGTAATTTTATAGGGAGAAGAAGTGGGTGACAGTTGGCGACACATCCCTAAGGATTTACAAATGGGTACCAGTAACGGAGCCTAAAGTCGATGATGTAAGTATCCTGCAGATGTCTTGCTTTTTTCAGGATGTGGGCGCTCGTGGTTGGGACGAGTCGAAAGAAATGTGCTCTCTGTTCTTTGAGCCTTGAAGCTAAGGCTGGTGTGCAAGCTTTTGAATAGAAGAGCTCTAGGGAAAATGTACCTCTGCGGAAAGTGATGCTGATGGGTCAGTGGGCGACAGTCTTCCTGGAGTCCACTGTTAAACATTTGGCTTGAAACTGATTTTTGAAACCTTTCCCTAATATAATAACTGGGAGGTGGGGAGGGAAAGCTAAGGCATCGATTACTTTTCCCCTCTTCCTGCCTGGTGCTTTAAAGGAAATTAGCTTGTTTGGAACTCTGTGGAGAATGTATTCTATCTGTGCATCACTGCTGCTTTGCTCAAAAATAGGTGCGAAACATTGAAGTAAGGGTAGGAAGATCCCATGGAACTGAGATAACTTGTATTAAGATGTCCAGCCCCATCTGTACAGCAGACATGCTTCTGGTGTAAGGTGTGCTCTCTCCTGATACACGTTTTGTGTATGCATCATGGTTATGTTCTTAGTGCGCACTGTTCGTTTGCTCTGTGTGGCATAAAAATAAGTGTAAAAATCAGAGTTCATAGGGCTTATGAACTGTTGTTCAAAATGAACATTGCTCTTGTTTTATAAACTGCGATGCAGTTATAGAGAGAAAACTAATCCGTGGTGCCACAGTAAATTATTAATACAATTGAATATACATCCTAAGTTCGCCACTCCTTCCCTGCGCTGTCATGTGCTTTTGTTTTACTTGAAATAGGAGTTAAGGCCTATCTGGGAGAAAACTACTGTGTTAATAAATGTGTAAAACGATGGTTTTTCAGACAAGACAGTGTTGTGATCTTGTCTTAGTCAAACTCCAAATTCAAGACCTACTTTTGATTAGTGTTGTTTTACCTGAGGTGGTTTCCTTCTGCACCTTTGGTTGTGTGCCACTCATTTCCTTGACTCTCAGAGTTGTGGTAAGCCTCTTGTATTCTTCTGATGCTTGAGCAGCACCTCTGTGAAATAACCCATTGTGGGTTGTGAAACCTTTCCTGGGTTCTTTACGCAAATGTGTTCATTCTTTCTAGTTGTAAAATGCTTGGTCTTGATTTTATTATATATAATACATGGTGGGGAAAGCTGTGCTGTCTGTGAGAGAGAGATGCTTAGGATATTTAGGCTCACAGCTTCTGAAAATAGTATTTCCGCAGTTAACCTGTGCTTGCATGATGGAACTTTGAAACAGACTTTATAGTGAGTGTCTGGGTGAATTTCAAGGTGACTTGTACCTAACGTCAGATTCTCTGCTAAGAAGAATGGGTTTACGTAAGGGTCCCTATGTGCAGAGTTTAATTGTATTTTTTGAGCCATCATCTATAGGTTTAGGTTCCAGATTTGCTGAAATTGGGACGCTCGTTGAAGATCAGTTACTTGTGTCCTACGGTCACATTCTCGTCGTTACAAGTAGAGGCCGTTGTGCAGCTCCAGTTGCTGCAGTCTTGATGTTGTAAGGTTTCTGTCTTTTTGCTCTGGAAGTTCTCAGAATTTGAAAAAGTGCATGTATTTTAAAAATACATACCAGGTACAGGTCATCTTGGCTATTTAATTTTGCTGTGGACGTCCTTTTATATCTGATTTCATCCCTCTGGGAAAGAGCAGATAGTATACTTGCTTTTTTCTAGGATAGCAGAATGGGATCTTTTTTACTGCTCTGTGTTTCAAATGGAAGTTGTCTTTGATTTTAGTGAATACAGATTAGATCACTTCCCCTCCTCACATGTTGTTCCTAAGACACTTTGACATTTCTTTGACCTAGAATTAGCTAAGCTCTTTCCTCCTCCTAGTTTTGCAATTATGTTGTAGAATACCACCACTTCGATTAAACCTTTTTAAAAAACTTTTAACCTTTTTAAAAAGAACTTACATTGCTTGCAGTCATTTTTCAATATTTCTCTTGTGGCAAAAGTGTCCTTTTTACCTTTAAAAGAAACCACAGCAAACAAACGGCCAAGAGAGATTATGTCCCCTCTTGAACTTCCATTTTGCAAGGGTTAAGAAGTCCATGTGCTTTCACCTTTGCTTCGTGTATTAGGGAATAAAATCTGAGTCCTCTGAAGTAAAAATACAATTTTGAAAAAAGTGTAATAATCTATTTAAGATAGAGGGAGAAGTCCTTCCAGATGTCACTTGTTGAATTTCCTCTGCAGTCTTAGGCAATATTCGGTCGTGGTTTTAGTTCCTTCCCTCGCTGGAGGACAGTCTTACCCGAACGGATGGCTTGCCGAGGGTTCTTCCTAGAGTCAGGCTTTTAATTGTCTTCTCAGCAGGCACGCAGGATCCTCCAAAAGCAGTGCAGCTGGTGCTTTCTCCTGTGAGACCGATTACGTCACCTCTTAATTGAAAGTGCTGCATCCCTCAGCAGACGCAGATTTTCCACGTGATGGATGCTACTGTCTCTTCCTTTGTTTTAAGGCTTGCAGTCCGTGCTGTTCGGTCACGAGCGTCTTGCGACCTGTTGTTCATGCAGGACTCTCTTGCTTATGCTCTTTGGTGTAGGCCAGTCTGATTTTTCTTAAGCCGTCTTCTAGTTTTAACGAAGAAACAGCCTTAGTTGTAGAGAAGGAGGAGTTCTCCGCAGTGTTGGTCATTGAGGAGGAGGTAAAAAGCTGTGCCTTCAGTGTTAAGATGCGAGATCTGTTACCATCCTGCTGTGCGTGCGTGCGTATTGTCTCCGTGTATCCGACAGGAAAGGGAGAGCGTACTGCGTTTTGTAGCGCGCAGGCCATGCAGCGAGCAGAGTTATGAGCTCAGAAGTAGCGTGGTTTCAGGAATGTTAGCCCTGCCTCTAGTCAGCGATGCTCTTCCTTTTTCCCGCTGTAGCAGGGGCTCTTCTGACCTTGCTTTCATAGCTCTTCGCATTGAGTACAGAGTTAGCAGCCAGCACCTCGCCAAGTTCTCCAACTCTGTTTCATCAACCATTTAATCATTGTGCTTCAGATTCCCTGCTTGTAGAAGGAGGGGTGGCACTGAGAACTTTGGTACTTCTTACAAAAACTGTGCAGTTGTTTGAAGATGAAAAACATGGTTAAGTCAAACCCGTTACTAGAATTTCTGGGTTAAAAATTTATATATCCTAGTGTTTTGTGTCACGAAGCATACAATTAGAGAAACAGCCCTGCAGTTTTGGGGATTAATGCATTACTGATAATGTCAGTTATTATTACATTGCCTCTATTTCTCACTTGAAATTAAGACAGATGCCTCCAGAATTAATAAGTGGGAAGAGTTTTATATTGCAGCATGGATTTCTCTTTATGGCGATAGTCTCATTTGTTTGTGGTACCTTCTGTTTTTCAGAAAAATAAGAATAAGAAAAAAGGCAAAGATGAAAAATGCGGCTCTGAAGTGACCACTCCAGAGAACAGCTCCTCTCCGGGGATGATGGACATGCACGGTGAGTGGGAGGTCAGCCCCAGTTACACTGCTATGAAAGTGTAAGCGAACAGCATCAAATCCTCCGTTGCTCAGAAGTATGGATAGCAGGACTGAATCAAAGTGAAAACAGCATCAGATATTCACTTGGTACCTTGGACTTCTCTTCTGTGGATGTACTAACAGTTGTGTACGTGCCATTTATATTTGGGCTGCGTATGCGGAAAAATTTGTCCCTGGAGCTAATAAGAAATTAAAAATAGAAACATCTGCCATTCAACATACTACACTCAGGTGAAGTAGTAACTCTGAGTTTGCTGGTTGAAGAATCAAAAGACCTGCAAAGCCTCAGTGGCACCTACTATAACTTGTGCAAGTTTTGTGCTTTTTAACTCTGCAAGTGAGTCAGGTCAAAAGAATTCTGCAAGAGCCAAAAAGCTCTGGTTCTGTGGTGTCTTCCCTCTGCTTCAGCTTGATGAAATTTCACTGGTTAAGAAAACATTTTTGGCTTGCCAGTCAGGCACTACTAAGGCATTTTTTTCCCTTCCAAGTGTGAAGTGTTGAGTGTTAACCTGGTGTTTATTACAGAGGAGCTTGCATAGCTCAGCTCTGTTTAATTTTTGTACCTTCTAGGTGTTTGGATAACAATTACGGCTGAGAATGCAGCACTACTTGAGCTGATAAGATGGGATCACTTTTTAGTGGGTTGTAAATTTTTCATTTCCGTTTTATTTGCATTTGTATTGCCTCCTGGTTGGTTTCTGCAGTGTTCACAGCAAGTATGGTCTTGCAGTTAAAGGACTGAGCAGGGTTTTCACACATCTGGATTAATTTTTCGTCTGTTTCAAACTTCTTAGCTTTTGCCTCGGTCAGATAATTTAATTTTCTTAAGCCTTGTTTTCTCCCATCTGTGAGGTGAATATACAGCTTCCTTTTTTTATCATACATCACTTGTGTTTGTACAACTTCATGATAAACTTAATCTGATCTGACTTGAGGCTGCTCTGAGGAGAGATGTCCCGTCACCAGCTGTGTGTTTCTGAAGTCCTTTGGATGTGGTGATTGTACAGATGCAAATTGACTGGCGTGCTAGTAATTAACTAATGATGTTTTGCCAGCTTAGTTTTCTTTAGGGAGCAGGAGCTTTCCCCTTGGTTACCCATGGCTGTTCGACTGGCTTAAACATTGCGTCCCGCTGCTATCCATAAAGTGTTAGCTGAGAAACCACTCTCCCTGGTTTTCACAGGAAGAGGGTACAGGCAGAATATTTCCTGTTAACTACGGAGACATGATCTGTGCTGCAGAAAGTTGCTGTGATCCAAGTTTTTGGAGGCCAGAGAATATTCTGGGCAGTTATCACTTCAGAAGCTATTGATACTGGAACTGGATGTTACGTTTTACCTTGATGGGGTTTTGCTGGAGTTTTTTTTGTGGGTTTTTTTGACCTTCAGGATACACTTCAAAAACTGCTCATCTGAATGTTGTAGTGATGGGTATTTGTAAATCTGCAGCATGAACGCTTAATTAGGCCTGTGTTATATGAACTGTAAAATGAGACTGTCGCTTCAGTTGATCTGGTTTACTCATATTACAAAATTCTGGGTTCTTTTGGAAGAGATAGGAGTAAAGCACTCTTGGTTTTATTGTATAGTGTTACTTAGAGCACCTTTTTGACGTTTTCTGATTTTTAGGAACTGCTAGAAAGCTCCTGTATTACAGCACAGGCTGCAAGAGCAAAAATTGTGCTGGTGTGGAAGCTGTAGTGTTAGTCTAAATGCTTGGGCTTGAACCCCAGCAAGCTAGATTATATCTTGTGTTGTCAGGGAATAATAGAGGAAAAATTTGGAAGAATTAAGGTGTACTTTTTATCTTGTCAAATTTAACTTTTAACTCTTTTGTTAACAGATGACAATAGCAACCAGAGTTCAATAGCTGATGCTTCTCCAATAAAGCAAGAGAACAGCAGTAATTCAAGTCCAGCACCAGAACAGAACTTGGCAGCACAAGCAGACGGCACTGAAGTAAAGTCTGACGAAACTCCGACAGAAGCGAAGGAGCAGCCTGGTTCAGAAGGTAAGCTGGAAAGACCATCTCAAAGCCGAACAAAACCCGCTGTCCTTAGTGTACCATTTATTTGCTTATCCACTTTAAGAACTGGATGACAACAGCTTGAAAGAGAAATGGTTCTGAATTCTCAGCATTTATGTGGAACTGGGCCATGTTCTCTCTTTTCCCTACAGCAGGAAAGGTCACATTGACATTCAGGGTCTTTTCAGAGGAAACAAACAAATTACTTGGTTTGTTGTTGTCATAACTTGAGTCTTGAAAGAAGACATCATTTAAAATCATCCTTAAAATGGCTGTAATCACACAAATCCTGGAAAGCATTACTTTTGTAGATCTGCGAGTGTTCCTTATCTAGTGTGAAAGTAAAATAGAGGTGAGATACTTTGATTTTTTTTTTGGTGTAAACTATAATGTAAGCTTTTTCTTTTTTCCTTAACCCTGCTTGTTATTCAAAAGTTAGCTCTGAATTCTGTCATAATTTTCTAAAAGTGTGACAGTATTGCACTGCAGTTGAGCACAGATGAAAAATACATGTGGGTTTAGAGTTTGTTCTGAACCTCACTCTTTAGGTGGTATTTTGGGTAATTGAAACATGCTCTGTATTTATATTCCTGGGAAGATAACTTTCTTCAGCCTATTATAACAGATAAAAGATGTCCTTAACACCATTCTAATGATTTGGTTGCAGAATTCTTCCCATAGCAAAGCAATTAAATTATGCCCTCCTAATGTAGTTCTCAGTAGATCCACTAACCAATTTAAATTTAGAGCTTTCATCTTGGTAATGCCAGAATGGTTAAGTCTGTTAAATATTGCCACTGTTAATTGGGGTTAAATTTTGTCAACTGAGTTGTCACCAAACTGAAATAAAGCAGAATGTCATATCCTTCAAAAAAAATCTGAATTAGCCTATTTGGTCACAGTAAACGGGAAGGATTTACTTCCTAGGTCTAACGTTGTCTGAACCTGCTAGTGTGAAGTTGTTGCATAGCACACGCTCCCTGACTAAACTTAGGGGAGGGAAGATCATAGCGAGTTCTCTGGATTAGTTCCAGAGCCACGTACCGTAAAATGAAAGGGAGAAGTAATGGAAACCCACACGTTATTAATGTGGGGTTTTTCCTATTGGTCACATGCCATATTAAAAAAGTTTTTAAGTAATTATTTCTTTTCCAAAGTCTTGACGATCGCTCAACCCCCTGGAGTTGGGACATCATTCACCCGCACAGGGTCCATGACCGTGTACGTCTCTCTGAAATCAGGGAGGTTCCCTGAAGCTAGGGGACAGTGCGAGTGGACTTCATAAAGAAAACAGCTGCACTCAGAACGTTTGGCTGTGTAAAGAAGTCACGGCAGGCACGGAACAGCTTGGGGCTTGGCGGTTGAAAACATGGATCCCCTTGCCCCAAGGCCGGCCGCGGGAAGGGAGCGCAGCAGCTGCCAGCCGTGCGCTGTGGAAGCTCTGGGCGTGTTTTTGTCGTGGGGAGGCGCTCCTTAGCTCAAGTTGCGACGTATGCTGAGACGTGGGCAGCGGAGATTGAAACTGAAATTCCTTCTGACCCTTGGGACTTGTTTCTTGACCAGTGTGAACATGCTTTTCTGGTGAGGCCTGGAAAGGAGGGCGGCTCTCTCCGAGTTTGCTGAATACGATGGTTGAGACAGCTCATCGGAGGTGTCACTTTATGTCCAATTCAGAGAAACTTGCAGAAGTGCTTGTGATGCTTTTTGTACAGTGCACCACAGAAATACCCGTTACTCGCTGGTTATTTCATCTTCGTTAACCAAAGTTGTCCAAAATATTTTTTGATCTTGCATTTCTCTTCATCCAGAATAAATGTTTCTTGGGGCAGGGACCTGTGGAGACCTCCCTTCATAAAACTTGGCTCCATGCATACTTCTGAGATTCATTCAAGTCAAAAAGGATTTATAAATGAGGTGAAAGGAAGAATGGGTTCAGTCCGTACACTGTTCTTGACATGGATATTGAAAGAAATGTAGCTGACCTTTCACAATCAGAGGGGTTTGGTTTTGGGTGGGTTGGTTGTTGTTGTTATTGTTTTGTTGAGTCTCTGCTTCTCGACATACTGTGATAAACTTCCAGGGATCTTTAACCCGTAAAGACACTGAAGTGCCTTATCCCCTCTTTGAGTGAATGGGTGCTTGAACCCCGAGTCGCCAGTAACTCTCAGAGAGGAAAGGGTGGTGCTTTCAAACACACACACAAACAAAAACCAACCCCCAACCGAGCCAAAAAGCCCAACCAACCAAACATGAAAATTGGGAGCAGGTAAGAGCTATAACAAGCTGAAAGACGTCTCCATAAATGTGCACCAGAATTCAAAATTCTGCATCCTTAATGGTGAAGCTAGCTGAATTTCTGAATCTTATCTTCAAAGTATTATCAAGGAGAAAATGTGGATTTTAAATATATGGCTGAATTTCCATTCAGATAACTTTATTCTCTCTCCTTGTCTACACAGTTTTAGCTCCATTAGTTACCACAATTCAGCCCTTTCTGGACCTGCCTTTTATGCTGGTGTGAAGCAGGTCAGCCCCTTTGTGAAGTCGACAGGGTTCTGTTAGAGGGATTGCGGGAGCTTAGCTCCCTCTAGGGACTGGCTCCAACAACTGAATTCCAGCAGGAAGGCGAAGCTCCTCCAGTGGCAGCAGCCGGTGGTTTTGGTCCTGGAGTTTAATTTATTACATTCATAGAGTTGTTACGTCTGGTGTCGTTAATGGTTACACGCCGGTGAAATACATGAGTTTGGAATGTTGCTAATGAGAAGGCATCCTAAAAGCTCCAGCTGAATGCTTTCGTTTGCTTGTTTGTTTAAAATTCTTTCTTGAAATTTCAGATACCTCTGATGAACAGAATTCACAGTCTTCAATGGAAAATTCCATGAATAGTTCAGAGAAAGCAGAAATTCAGTCCTCTGGAGAAAATGATATAATTACAGAGGCGTCTAAAAACTCTCAGGTAACTTTAAGCGCAAAAGCCCAATTACTTGGAATGTGGAAAAGTGTGTTGTTAACAAAAAGCAAATGTGTTTCTAGTTTTTAGCTTGTATTTTAGTCTCCTTTTTTATCATAGAATCATTTGGGTTGGAAGGGACCTTAAAGACCATCCAGTCCCACCCCCTGCCATGGGCAGGGACACCTTCCACTAGACCAGGTTGCTCCAAGCCTCATCCAGCCTGGCCTTGGACACTTCCAGGGATGGGGCATCCGCAGCTTCTCTGGGCAACCTGGCCCAGTGCCTCCCCACCCTCTCAGGGAAGAATTTTTTCCTGATATCCAATCTCAATCTCCCTCTTTCAATTTAACCCCGTTACCCCTTGTCCTGTCACTACAAGCCCTTGTAAGAAGTCCCCCCCAGCTTCCTTGTAGGCCCCCACAAGGGGAGGGAGGCCACTTGTGTGTTTAGACTCGTTTCCTAAGGTGATGACAGTACAGCAGCTGAAGAGCATTAAATGTACATGCGTCTGGTTTTGTGGCTGATTTGATTGGCTTCTTGCATTTCACATAATTTGAACAGTAAGACTAGATTGGTCTGATTTACTTCTCAGTTTCCTAAACCAGTCTGTCTCAGTTTTGTAAGGGAACATTAAAATTCCATGTTAATAAATTGCTTGGACCTAACCCACTGGACAGGCCCCTTTGAGGACCATTCAGTAGTAAAACACCTTCTGGAAAAGTAAATTCATCTAGCCCTTAGGGAAGTTAATTTTTGTAGATCACACATCAAAGCTGTTCCTGGGAATATTCCCTGTGGTTTTTAGCCCAGAACTCGAATTTTGCCCTCTGTCAGCAGTTAACAAGGGTCAAGATGTTGAGGTGAGATGTGAGCAGAGCAGCGGTTTCAGGAAGCGCATGTGCCTGGTCGCGTCACTCTCGTGTCCAGGGCTGCCTTGTACTTCACAGACGACACTCCGTGCTTTCTGCTTGATGCTTACGGTGCCTGAAATGACATGCAGTGCAATGGTAACGTGGTTGTTTTTCTTTCCCCCTCATTAAGGACTCTGAAGGAGTGCCACCTTCTAAAAAGATGAAAGTAGAGGCTTCCCAACAAAATATTGAAGAGATTTAGACTATAGATTTGCCTGGTCAGTTTTTCTGTAAGGTACATCAGTGGGCTTAATTATAGAACAACCTTACTTAAGCATCTTCTCTTGGATGAGGACAGAACTCCTAACTTTTCAAGTCACCAAGCAAAAATCCAAGAAAGCCTAACAAAGGTTTAACTTCTCAGACACTGAAAACTTTTTCCTGTGAAACAAACATTGAGAACTTTTAAATTACTGTCTCTGAAATGGTTGGAGTAAACAACTCAGGAGGGGTCTACGCACTGTTTCTAAAGTCAAAATTACAATTATGTTGCTGCTGTATTTTTTTTTTTTGTTGTTTTCATTTCTCTATTTAACATTGTAAGATATTTAAGGATGGTACAGGTCAGGTATTAGCTTTCATGTGAAGTTCATTGTTCTGGCGTGATGTCTGCTTTTGTTTTGTGCCTTGTGTTCTGAAAACAGTGCTAACTTTTAAAAGTTGTTTTGCAGCTGTCTCCTTTGCAGTGGCCTCTGTTTGTGTAATGCCATGTAGTAAGGCTTTTTCTTTTTCTTTTTTTTTTCTTTCTTTGGGTTTTTGTTTTGTTTTAAATTTTTAAATCCCTGGTGCTTAAAATTTTTAACAAATACAGATCAGGAAGCCATTTTCACTCTTGGAGTCCAAGGAGAAAAAGGAGCTTGATATTTTATTTTAGCAGCTATAGTGGAGATCTTTTATTGAATGCATGGCATTCGCAACTGTAAATTTGGTCTTCTAAGTACTTAACTTCATCAGAAGTTAACATGATCTGTTTACCATTTATAGTCCAGATCTGAATATATACTGTAAACGAACAGTTAAAATACTTACGTATTAGGTCCAGATCTCTGTACTGGGTACAACTTGCTTTACAGAAAAGTTCCACTATGTACATAAATAGGATCAAAGGGATTGATGCACAGCGAATTTATTTTCAACCGGTCTTTTTTGATATCATGTTTTCACTGAACTGGATTTCATTGTACTGTTTCTTTATAAGATGTTTACTTCTGTGTTCCAGGTTGATACTGTATTTGGGGTTTCCTTTTTTTCTTCCAGCAAGTCTTGTAAATAAGCCTTGTTGTTTCCACAGTCCCTCCATCATTGTTAGAAACGTTCCTTCTTTTCCAATTCTGTTGAAGCGTGCTTATGCTAAACCCGATTGAAGGGCACGGAGTACGTGCAACTCCCTTCAAATCCGTGGCGCGTGGAAGTGCAGAACCACCTGCATCAGGTCTTAGGGGCCAGATCTCGCAGTGGGCTTTGTGTTTCCAGGGTGAGCTCCAGTTACAAATAGCTGGAGTCGGTGGGAACTGCTTCTTTCTCGCTGCGTACGTACCTGCGTGTGCTGGATCGGGCCCTTGGTCTTCGCCTTGCGTGCGAGATGGAACTTGTAATTTAAAATAGGATCTCACAGCTATGAAAATGGTTGCATAGAGTTTGTAAGCTAAGAACTGTAAATACTTTTTTAAATGAAAAAAAAATTGCTTCCAGTTGATACATTTTCATAATTAGCTCTTCATTAAGCTTATTTATTTCTGAATTCTCCAATAGTGAAAATGGCTTTGCATTTAGACTACTGCGTTGCGTTTGCAATTACCACTTAATTAGGAGAAACCATGGGGAAGTGGGGGGCGGGAATAGAGGGAGGGCGGAGCGGGGAGCCAATCCTGACCTTCCGTAAGATGTTTGCAGGACTGAACTCCAAATAACATACGACGCTCAGTTTCGCAACTTTTCCTTTATGTTGAAATAAAACCTTTTGGATTTTAACTGAATAAAAATTGGATTGCAAATCATTCATGAAGACAGTGTGCTCCCTAATAGTAAGTTTTTGGGATTTCTGGTCTGATCATGAAGTCCATTAACATTCTGAAAATAAGGAAATGAGGAGCCAAAAACTATGTTTGCACAGTATATGCAATGGAACGGTAGAATTCTCTCTTGAATTGTGTGTATGCCTAAAATGTGGATTACTGGTCACTGAGGATTGATTTGTATGTATATTGCATTCAGATTTAAGTGATATTTTGTGAGAAGTTCTATTGATATATTACATGGGCAAATCTAGAAAGATTCAAAACTTTAAAATACTTTTGATTTTACTAACTTTTCGTTGTTTTTAATGCTAAAACAAAACAAATCTGATGCCACCTTTGACACGTAGTCATGTTTACTAATCCCTATCTCCAGGTGCATCGCAGCAAGTTTTTAATTTTAATTTTGTAGACGTTTCCAAGGGAGTAAATAGACTTTTCATTTAGAAACTAATTCCTGTACTTTAGGAAGAAATAAGATATATAAATAGCACTAAAAATACCTCAAATTTTTCATTAGATAGAAGCATTTATTGGCATTATTGACCATCAACAGGTTTTAATTATAAACTTCCTTTTCTCTCCTGTGGCTTCTGCTCAGAACTGTTCACTGTTCTGTGGCTTACAAGACAAGGCATCATAACCATATTCCTAGAGGCTTTATTTCTCAAGTAGTAATGCTTTATTTACAGCTTACACAGAATACATTCAGAACTTTTTTTTTAACCAGAGATTCTAGTGACAACAGACAACTGAACAAGCAGATAGATTTGGGTTCCTTAGACCTGTTATTGTCAGTCTCTACGGGAAGAGACTTTGACACTATCTGGTATGAAGAAATCCAAAATAGTGTATAAGACTGTTATTAGTCTTTTTTTGAAGTGCCTGATAACATTTATGGGCCAACGGATGTGATTAAACACATTTTAATGCCAGAAAGTACAGATGGGACCAAACCAGAGCATCGTATTCAAATCGACCTGAGTGAGGTTTGAAACCAGATCTAAATCTAGCTTTTTGTGGCTTGGACCTATCTCTACCAGGAACTTGTTTTATGAACTCACTGTAAAAGGGTTTCTTGAAAGCATTGAGACGTGGAGCAGGAGGAGAGATGGAATTTTCTTCAAGTTGACTGAAAGTTCTCATACAGCTAATATTTTAGAAATAGTGCAAATATCAAGAAGTGCTTCCTTGCTACAATGCTGAATGTTGGAGCTTCAGTTAGAAATAAATATTAAAAAAAGAAAGAAAAAAAAATAAAAAAAGGAAACTAGAAGCAAGCAAGTAAATTAGCTGAGTTTGTGGAACGTGTGGGAAGGCCTTCTGAATAAGCGATTTACTCAGCCAAACATTTTATAGCAGAAATATTCCTTGGAATTTTTATGCTTGGGAAAGTAGTTGTTAAACATTCCAAAAAGTGCTGGCACTTACAAAAAAAACCAACAAAAAATAATCGACAAGGCAGTATAAAATATTGGTTTTGGGTGGCGATCTTCATGCATAAACATTGTCATGTTTTGGAATGTTCTTTATATCTAAGGGCCTGTTAGAAGGTGTAAAGAATTTTTGTTTTCTTCCATACCTAATCGTTTTCCATCTTATGATTTGTGTGTGTGTGTGTTGTACAGCAGTATAATTTTTCACTTATTTATTCCATTGGTAGTTATGGTTTGTACAATGTAGAATGGTTTCATTTCAAAAATAAAATAAAAAATCACAACATGAATGCTGTGTGGATAATTTTTATCAAGAAACCTAATCTCAGCTTGCTGTTGGGTTTTTTTTTAAATTTACAATAAATTTCTGTTTTTATAGATGGTAGTTTTAAATGTGCATTCTGTGGTGGTGTCTCATTTGGTAACATGTAAAATGATTCGGTTCTGAGCGGACCAAAGGTGTCGTGATAGTGTAGCAGGACACTGAGCGGGGTGGGGGCAGGTCGTAACAACAAACAGACAGATGTGACCGTGTAATTACAGCAACCTGCAGATCAGTTTGGTAATTTGAGGTGCTTACTGTTGGCTTGGTACTTGGCTGATGGGTTGTGCTAACCTAACTGGGAGGGAGGAGGGCACGCTGTGGAAACCCGCTGCGGTTTGCAGCGTGCTTGAGGCCGATGCCAGCAAGGGTAGAACTCCTTCCCAGTTCAGGAAAGATTCTTTACATTCAAGACAGATATAAAGTGTCCGTCTTATTTTTAGTGTTGTGCGTGGCCTGTCCCAAAGCCGCCTGCAGTGTCACGGGCAGCTGAACTGGTCTGCTGGCACGCCGCTACCAGGAGGGTGAGCCACAGCCTGCTCCCAGCCTGGTTTTGCTTCCCCTGCATGTACTGGGGTGCTCAGAGCATCCTCCTGTCAACCGCCTGAATTCGCTAACCTGGGAAGCAAACTACCCATTTTCAGTTAAGTTTTATTTCTTCTCTAGGTTAGTGAATGAAGTCAGCAGAGTTACGTAAGGGAATTTATATAGTGTGGAACCGGAGAGAGAAAAGAGCGGAGGTAGAAACGAGGGTGTCGTTCAAGACGGGTCCCAGGAGGAAAGGCCTCTGAACAGGTAAGGCTTGTGGCAGTGAAGGTGGAGGAGCGAGCGGCAGCCTAGCCTAGCAGCAGGCTTCGGAGCTGGAGCTTGGCCCTGTGGTTTGCCTGGAGCAGGCCGGGCAGCGGAGCCAGCGCAGCGGTAACGCGTGGCTGGGCTCCCAGCACCTGCAGCCAGCCCCGCAGTCGGCAGCTGTGAGTAAGACCTGGAGCTCTTGTGCTTCATCAACACGGGAATGCTTTATCTTCCTGTCTGTAGATTGAGGAGGATAATCTCTTACCACTAAGTGTTGTGGAGTACACCGGGGGTGTATTTTTAAACAGCTTGAATGTCTCTCTGCCCTGTGCGTATTACAGTTGAATTCCAAGTCGGTAAAAGGCTGTCTCCTCCTGAGCTGTTGAAAGAACCTCATCAGAACGCGGTGGCCTACGTTTCACCTCGTGCTGCAGATTGCTGTAAAGAAAGGGTAAGAAAAAGCGTGCTCCAGAGATGCTGCGGTGGCCCCTTAGTGTTTCTGTGTGCTGCCTGGAATTCCGTACTGAGGAGGAGGGGATGATAGCTGGGAGTCTTCACCTGATCTGAAAAAGGCAAACCAAGAGGTCTGTCTCCAAACCGTTTGGGGTTTTTTTGAGGGATGCATCTTTAGTTGCGTCTGTGGTACTGCCCTGAGGATGACGAGAGGAGAAACCCCTGAGCTGCATCAAACGCTAGTCGCAGCTTAAGGCTGCAACCCCGACTTTAAATGATGGCTCGGTGCATTGCTAACTTTTCTCAGAGAACTGCAGTGCTGCCCAGCAACTTGAGTTTAACAAGCTATCCCTCCGTGCACGCCAGCGTGGCTGGCTTAGACATCTGGGAGGTGGATGTATGGGCTGTTGTCAGGGAAACGCTGCATACA